GCTTTATGCAATTGATGTATGTATGGATTGTGATAAGAGTGGTATGAGCCCCTAATAAAACGATTTAAAAAAAAAGACTATGTCTTTAGAACCTCATGGGGCAGTTCGACTCTGTCCTCCTGTAGTGTTGCTATAAGTTGTAATCTACTCTAAGGTGACAAGTTTGATTTTCTTCTTCTTTCTTTCTTTCTTTCTTTCTTTCTTTCTTTCTTTCTTTCTTTCTTTCTTTCTTTCTTTCTCTTTTTAATTCTTTGAAAATGACACCTGGTGGCTCAGTGGTTAAATGCTTAGCTGTGAACTGAAGGGTTGGAAGTACAAGCCTACCCAATGGCTCTTTGTAAGAAAGATCTGACAGTCTGCTCCAATAAAGGTTACAACCTAGGAAACATTATGAGGAAGTTCTACTCTGTCACATAATGTCACTAAAATAGCAAACTCACTGCCATAGAATTAATGCTGACTCATAGCAACCCCCTGTGGGTTTCAGAGACTGTAACTGTTCATGGGAGTACAAAACCCAGTCTTTTACCAGCGGAGCTGCTTGTGGTTTAGAACTGCCGACCATGCAGCTTGCAGCCCAATGGATAACCACTATACCACCAGGTCTCCTTAGAAGTTGAAAATCAATTATACTCATCAACAACAATATCCTTTCAAAGAGTTAACTCAACCCTCAGAGTACTGAATGTGCCCCAGGCCTATACTATCGCATGGAAGAAAAGACTCACATTCAAAGCATGAATGTCACCCACTTGTTGAGTTTTCATATATCAACATTTCATAATTTCTAGTGAATTATTTTATAAATAGGAATATGATTAACTCTTAAAGCTATTTTTGTGAGGTGGTATAAAGATTTTGCAAGTTTAGAATGATTATTGAGGCAATTAGCATTTGATCACCACTCTATTTTTGTCAGTACATCTGTTCTTTGGCAAATGAAGTATTAGATGATCTTTACTAAGCAACTGTTATGGGTCCATCTGTGGTGTGACTGTGCAAAAGGCTTCATTGAATATGTCTTTTGCAGTGTGTTGGGATGACTTAGTTAATGTTTCTATTGACTTCAGATTGTCAGAAAGGATATTTGAAGTACAAAAAGGATAATTTTAAAAGTATGATAAGAGGTTGTCCAGTTTTTACCCCATTTTTACAAATGAGTAAGAGAACACAGTTTGTTTTTTCAATGTTAACTCTTGCTAATGTTGTTGCTATGTAGTATTGAGAAGATTACAATTCCTAGTAACCCTAAAGGGTAGAGTGGAACTGCCATATAGGGTTCCCCATCCTGTAATTTTTATGAGAGCAAATCAATGTCTTTTCTTCCATTGAGCAGCTAGTGGGTTTGAACTGCCTACCCTCTAGACCACAGCTAAGAACTTAACCATTGTACCACCAGGATTACTTGAAAAAAGACAAAACATCTAAAATTAGTCTTAGTGTCACTATGTCAATTTCAACACATAGCAACCCCATATGACAGAACAGACTTCCCAATAGGGTCTCCAAGACTGTAATCTTTATGGGAGCCAATTTCCAGGTATTTTATTCCATGGAGCTTGTGTTTTACCAGGTAGACTAGAGAAACAAATCCAGGGACACTCATATATGAGTAAGAGAGAGTTTTATATCAAGAAGTAATTATTCATCAATAAAACATCCCAACCCAGGCAAGTCGTTAAGCCCACTACTAGTCCATAAGTCCCTCTTCAGAATCACAAAGTCACAAGCAATGATGTAAAATGCAGGAAGATCACAGGCCAGTGAGTGGAACATCTTGTGGATTAAATAGTGGTAGACACATCTCCAGGACTCACGCAGGTCTCATTGAGGCTGGTCAACAGGAAGGTGAAGGCAGATAGAGAGTGTGTGGCCCACTTCCATGGAGAAAGAGAAAGTTCCCAGAATCATCCTCATGAAAAGGCCTCACCCACAAGAAGGCATCATCAGGCTGTGACCTGATTAACAGGCTAGGCTCCACCCCTACCCGCTATTTATCAAGTCAACATGAAGTTATGTAACTACCACAGAGCTACCAGTTTTTAGTAGCTCTTCAGTTAGCTTAACTACTGTGCCACCAGGCTCCTTCATCCCTGCTTAGACCCCTCATTTGTTTTTGTAATGGCTTCTGTTGAAGCTAGCACTAATACTAAATGCTTCCTTCATACTAAATTGCTGCAACTCAGCATCAATTTTGCTCTGAAGATATTTACTTATTTACTCAGACCCTTAACAAACATTTTTGTGTGTGTGTGTCCACCATGTATCCACCACTAGATCTGGATCTACCACTAGACCAACTTAGTTTTTTATTTCAGAGAAATTAATATTCTATTTGAGGAAACAATTTTAAAGCACACAGATAAAAATTTCAGGTCGTGTTCAGTGTAAACAAATAAAGGGGCTGCCAGGGAGCAGAATTGTGGGGAGATCCACGTTAGGACTGTATGCCAGGAGATGTCTCTAAGAATGGGCTACATCTCTGCTAAGACCTGATGGTGAGGGACCAGTTGACCATGAGTCATTTCCAATTCATAGTGATCCATGGTGTGTCAGATTAGAACTATGCTCCAAAGGACTTTCCATGGGTGATTTTTAATAACTAGGTTGTCATGTTTTTCTTCTAAGATGCTTCTGGGTCGATTCAAATCTCAACCTCTCATCCTTGGTGGTGCAGTGGTTAAGTGGTGAAGGGGCCAACATTTACCTTGAATGAGTTATCTATATGCATTGCTTGTTTATCACTTTCTAAGCCAGACTGTATGACATATTCCTCTTAGTATCTTTCTGCTCTCTTCTGTTACCAAAACGAACTCTCTACCATCAAGTTGTCTCTGACCCACAGCAACCATATAAAATGTTTCCCAGACTGTAAATGTTTACATATGTACAGACAGCCTCATCTTTCTCCTGAAGAGTGGCTGGTGTGATTGAACCACTGACTTCATGTTTAGCAGCCTAACACATAGTAGTACCGGGGCTCCTTTCTTTTGCCACAGTCATATCTAAAGCAAAGTTGTCTAAGGTCCTTTCTGGCCCAGCTTTTGTATCTCTCACCAGAGGTGCCCCCAGGTAATAGACATGGGTCCCTCGTTGTTGGCCGGAAATATACCATTGACGTTTGCTATTTGGCCAAAGTCATAGTAAGTTGTGGAATATTTTAATTTTTTAAGTTCATTTGCATCTCATTAAAAACTGTATGGGTTGACATATTTCAGAACACAAATATGCTTAATAATGCCTCATTTAATTGGAACCTCTTGTCTAGAAAAACCACTTGCAATGGAAATGCCTAACATAGTCAATCAGGGGATTCTTTTTTAGCCCTTATTAGCAGTGTTGGCAGTGGTCCATAATAAGCCTTCCTTTGCATAATTTGGCTCAAAGAGTGATTCCAACCTATCTAATGTTTTTAAAAGTTACTCCCTCTGAATGTTGAGAACATTTCAGCAAGAAAAAAATGGTACTGAAAGTGCTAAATAAGGGGTATATTCTAATTATATTTATACTAGTTCACCCTACATAAAGATGTGACTCTCAAGTGATCCAGCCATGACTTATATTGGACCAATCCCATAAATTGTCTCCCATGAGTCAGATGAAATAGACTAACCATTTTTTAAAATTCATTTTTATTTCAGAATTATCATTTCAGAAGATGGAAGGCTCAGAATCGTGAATGTCACTAAGTTAGATGCTGGGAGTTATACATGTATAGCCACGAATCATTTTGGAACCGCTAGCAGTACTGGAAACTTGGTGGTAAAAGGTAATGACTAACCCAGAGGACCCCTATATTTGTATATGCCCTCATTCCTAACCATGTCATCTATAGGAGTGTCGTCATTCACATTAATCTCTACAGATATCACTGCATTGCTAAATTAATTCATCATAGCAAACATATGATTGGTAATTCTTGGCCAACTATTGCTAATGAATATGATTGAAAGGCTATCTTACTCCAGTATCATTCAATACAATTTTGAGAATTGCAACCATTGTACCTATTGTAATATTGTATCTTCCCTCCTTTAAATTTCTTTCAAGTCTCTAGGGATTTGAAATTCATGTCTAACAACAATGTGTGAACAAATTAAAAACCCAGGACTCAAATATTATTTTTAGCAAACATTGCTTAAAAAGTGACATTGGTGATTTTTAAAAAGAACTGCCACAGTTATTCAAAGATATGGCTATCAATGATTCTACTAATAAAGGGTTTGATCACTTCTGTGTTTTGCTCTAGGCATGTAGACAGCCCTGTAAGTTTTAAGGAAATAAAATATTCCATATATCTTAGCCTGGGAATTTCATAGCTTATGACAAAGCATTCTTTATGCTTTTAGCATAGTGCATGATGTGAGCCTATTCCAGCACCATGTGGATTCCAATCTATCTAATGTTTCTAAAAGTTTTAGTGTTTAGTGTTTGGGAAGTGTTTAGTAAGAGTTGTTAAGGATGAGATCTTAATTTGCATATAATTTGCATTCCTGTCATTTTTTACCTTGCTGGGTCATAAGATTTTTGTGTGGAAGCGATCCTCAATGACTGATTAAGGAAGCTAAGACTCAGGCTGATGACTTTTATCTAGGTCACCAGCAGCCAAAAAAGGAACTTGAACTCAGAAATCCTGATTGTTCTACTTGTGGGGTCCTGGCAGAACAGTGGTTAAGCACTGCTAACAGAATGACCAGAGCGGAAGGCCCATCAGCCATCTTCTAGGAAAACAACAGGGGAATCTAGCACTATGAAGATTCTAGCCTTGAAGAACCTGTGGGCAGTTCTACACTGTCACATAAGGTCTCTTTGAGTCAGTACCATAATGGGGCAGGGGTTTTGTTCTACTTGGTTGTTTCCACTGCATACAGAATTTTTCTTTTCACTCATTTTTCCTATTTCTGAGTAATAGTACAGATGAGTTGTCACATGATTTCCTTTATATTCATTTGCAGAATCCTTTGTGAAATAAGGTTACCTAAAATAAGTAAAATTATCCAAAAAGAATAGTTGCCTCATTTTTTAAACATAAAGAGAAAAGCTAAAATTCACCCGATAGCATATTTTAGACACATTAGAACATTGAAGGATGGGTTCAAGGAACATGTAAGGAAAAGTATTACTAGTTTGGAAAGCCTTTTCGATGTGAACATATGCAGATACAAACTGGAAGTCTGAGGAGTAGAGGCAAATCTGTGTTTAGACGAACCCCAGCTATAACGCGTTCCATCCTGCCCTCAAGTTGCTCCACCTAATAGTGTGACCCTACGAGACAGAGCGACCCTTTTCCAAAGTGGTAAAGCTTTCCTGGAGTAGAAAGCCAAGTCCTTTTCCCAAGGAGCAGCTGGTGATTCTGGACTACTTACTTGGTGGTTAGCAGCTCAACGCGTAGCTACTATGCCATTATTCTCTTAGAACAGCACTAACACTGTAGAGTGTGTCTCACTGTATGCTCATTCTTTCACAGGGCCAGTGAAAGGGGGTAGGTAACTTTTGTAAAATAGTCTTCCAGCTAGAGATCTTTATTAATATACTGGGTAAGGAGAAACATAATTATTCATACTAAGACTAAGAGGCACTCAAGCTTTCAGAGCTGATCCGTGGCAGAGCTGGGGCCTGTGAATCTCCTTTAGAAATTGGTGGCTAGTGCTGTGGAGATATGTAGAATTCTAGTGAGCAATTTTGTTACTGTGAGGTGCCGTCCACTCAGCTCCGACTTATAGTGACCCTGTGAACAACAGAAGGAAACACCATCTGATCCTGCACCACCCTTCCAATCATTGTCATGTTGGAGTCCATCATTATAGCCGCGGTGTCAATCAGCTTGTCAAGGGTCTTGCTCAGTTCCACGGCCCTGCCACTTTGCCAAGTATGATGTCCTTCTCCAGGTGACATGTCCAATCTTAGTGATTAAGGAGGTAGGCTTTGGGTTAAAGAGATATGAGTTTGAATCTCCTTTCTCCCAGTTGCCAGCTCTGTGACCTTGAACAAAATCATGGGGAAAATAGGAGTGCTGACTTTATAGGGTTGTTTTAATGACTAAATGAGATCATCTATGCTAAATATTTAACATTATGGAAATATTAGGAGTTACTTTCGTCTTAAACATGATCATAGTTGTTGTTAGTTGCCATGGAGTCAATTCCAGTTCCCCATGTGTGACCCCATGTGTCCAGAGTAGAACTTCTCTATGGGGGTTCAAGGCTTTCAGAAGCAAATCATCTGATCTAATCACTGAGATGCCTCTAAGTGAGTTTCAACTACCAACCAACCTTTAAGACTAATATTTGAACACTTAACTGTTTGTGCCACTCAGGGATCCTGTAACATGGTAGTTATGTACATACAGTCAGGTGTCACTTAATGCCCACGGTATAATTTGTGAAATAGGACATCATGTGATTTGGATGTTGTGCAAAGTCCATAGTATGTACACATAGGACTCAGATTATGAACTAGTTACACTCTTAAAGTCGGGCATTAAGTCAAATTACATAAGTCATAACAATTAGAGAAGGTTCCTATTTAGCATCAGTTAGTCAAATGTTCATCTTAATAATAGTGTATAGTGTAGCTTTCTATGCACAAAATGTCATTAAAGAAACACTTTCCACATGGGGAGGAGTAAAAGAGTTAAAGGAAACATAAGGGAATGCTGTTTTGTAGCATGGGAGGGAGAGTGGCAGTAAGCCAACAAAGATATACAGGGCATAAAGAGGATATCTGTGCCTTTGTTGCAAATATATCCAAGCGTGTGGATATATGACTGTTCATACAGGAGGAAAAGTTATGAAAAATTCTTACATGTAATCAAACCCCTGGAGAGAATGAGTGAATTAAGCTGCGGTACTAAACCATAATCTTGGGGTCACCAAGATCAATGAGCATAATATGATTAACAAAGACAATGTTCTCTATCCCACTTTGGTAAATAGAGACCGGCTATTGTGGTCTTAAGAGCTTCTGAAAGGTGATACAAGGTGCAGCTATTAATCTCTCCATTTCCATAGCAAAGAAGAGTGAACACAATTGAGGACACATGAGAACAATTAATCCAATGGATTAATGGACCATGGGAATATAAATCCCCTCAACCCTGAGACCAACAGATCTAGATGGTTCCCAGCTACTACTTCCAAAACTCAAAATCATAAAATATACCAGGATTACTCATCACATAGAGAATGATGGAACACCTGCAAGTGTAGCCCTTAGACACACTTCAGGTCTGGAAATAAACAGCCTAATAGCTTGAGGATATTAAGAGTGCAGGGGTGGAGTCTAGCCTGTCACTCAGGTCACATACAGCCTTCCTGTGGGCATGGCTTTCTCATGCGGATTCTGGCAACTTCCTCTCTTTCTTCCTGGAAGCTGGCCATTCGCTCTCTCTGCTTCACCTTCCTATTGAGGTGCCACACTCAGAGAGCTGGAGGATCCACAAGGAGACCCACACCAGCGCTGAGATGCTTCCACCGTCACTAGGCTTTTCACCTACCTGCCTATGATCTTCCTGCATTCAGCATGATTGCATGTGTTGCATGAGTCTGCAGAGGAATTTATAGAGTATTATTGGACATATGGACTAATATCAGATTTATGGACTTGATCTGGACTGGGCTGGGATGTTTTCTCAATATACACTTGCTCTTTGATATAAAACTCTCTCTTACATAGAGTGTCTCTAGATTTGTTTCTCTAGCCAACCAGGCCTAACACAGGAAGCATTTACCCAAGAACAAAGTTAAAAAGGGTTAAGAAAGAAGGGGATAATTTATGAAGGGTTCTTAAGGGAGGAAAGGTGAAGGAGGGAGGGATAAAATGAGGAGATGATATCAAGGGCTCAAGTAGAAAGAAAATGCTTTGAAAATGATGATGGCAACATATGCACAAATGTCCTTGACCCAAAGGATGGATGTATGGATTGTGATAAGAGCTGTAAAATCCCCCAATTAAATGATTTCATTAAAAAAAAGAAATAGAAGTCTAAAAATAAGGAAAGAAGGGCAAATGGAAGCAAATGGGAAACATAGGGAGGAGATAGGATAAGTGATATTGCATTTTAGGGATTCCAATTCATGAGATGAAACAAAATGTGTATGAATTGTTAAATGGAAAACTTATATACTTAGTAAACTTTCACTCAATTCACAACAAAAAGTTAAAAAATTAATATATCAAACAGCAACACACACAAAATTAAAAAACAATAATTTCCAGATATACAAAACAAAATCTTTAACATAATAATTTTTTAATGTTCTTCCCAAAGCAGTACTCATTGGTTATTACAAATCATTGTATGTACCTCAAACCTTTAATAGAATAGGCTTAGTGGTAGGAACCATGGGAATACTATGATGGGACATTGCATGAAGGGGCACTATGAGGTGCATAACTGCATTCTAAACCACCGTGAAACAGACATTTCTAAAGTCTCTACCCTAAAGCCATTAGAATGGTTAGCAAAGAGAAGTACACTTTGCTGAAGTAGGAACTTCTACCTATCTTAAGAAACGAAATACTTTATTTCTTGCTTTCTTGTGAGATTTATAGCAGTGGTGTTAGGTCTACACAGTCACTTCCAATGTAAATGGAAGTCCCACATATAAATGGTTAAAAGTAGTATTCAATCCATAGCCGTGAAGTTGATTTCAACCGACACAGACCTTATGGGGCAGAGTAGAACTTCTGTCAGGTTTCCTTGACTGTAAATTTTTCTGGAATTAGACTAGCTAATCTCTCTCCCATGTAACAACTCTTGGGTATGAT